TAAATGCGCTACATCGAGAATCTGTGAGTTTGGAGGTTTCCTTCGCTTGCTTGCTGCCCCGAATTGAAAGTGATGTCAATGCTAAGGATGCGTTCGTGTGGACCCTCTCAGTCATTGGTCTGTTTCGTTGGGGTGGATAAAAGAGCTGGATGACGTTGATTTGTTTTCCTTTGGACTGTCTTTCGGGGTAGTACTCTGCCGAAACGCATCAGTGACTATGTTTCTGTTAGTTGTATTTGCGCATTCCTTAAGAGCACCTTCCACTGCCTTGGGGCCTGGGAAGGGTTCGAGTCATAATTGCGCTACATTGAGAATCTGTGAGTCTGGAGGTTTCCTCCACTCGCTTGCTGCTCCAAATTGAAAGTGATGTCAATGCTAAGGATGCGTTTGCGCGCACCCTCTCAGTCATTGGTCTGTTTCGTTGGGCTGAACAATTGATTATTAAGTTCTCTAGACTTCGTTTCCCGCAGGTTTGCAAGGAACGTACGAGTAATGCAAACGCACTACATTGAGACATTGTGATGGGGTGTGCTATTGAGACAGTGTGGTAGGGTTGTGCTTTCCGCACTTTGTGCTTTTCTTTAAGTGTCGTTCAGAAAACTGTGTATCCGAACTATGGGGGTGCTGCCCAGAAAGCTCTGTATCTGAGTTACGGGTGATTTAGGGGGTTGCCCAGTTTCTTTTTTTATCTGCTGTAATGAGGGTGCAACCTAGAGTCATTTTGCTCTTCTGAAGGTGTTTACTTTTGACTGGAAATGTTTCTGTGCTTTTGTGGCTTGCTGGAGTCCCACTAGGAAAAAAACAGACAAATCGAATTCCGATCGATATAGATTGCTGTTTGCGGTAATCGAAGTGGCGCGTGATGAAATGATGGATTGCATGCATCATTATGGACTTGCTGGACCGATCAGATTTTCCTGTGTTTGCACTTGTTAGATGGAGAGAACTGGAAAACAAAGCAGAGAAAAAGACTGAGGATTGATCGACTTAAGCAGAGGAAAAGACCGAGGATTGATTGACTTGTGCTGCGATGGCTGCCTATTGACAACTCTTGTTATCAGGACAGTCTCACATTCCGAGATGCAGAGTTGCGCAAGTATTTTAAGACTGGAGACCATGTGAAAGTGACGGCTGGAGAGAACGAGGGTGCAACTGGCATGATCGTGCGGGTTGCTGATCCAGTTATCTACTTGATAAGAGACATAACTCAGGAAGAGGTGAGCGGAAGGTCGGCACAATTTCTTGCAGTTGTCCATTTGTGTGGTTTTGTTGATTCGTCCATTGGTGTGGTGGTGAGGTGGAAGGGTGATATGGCCTGTTTTGTTTGTGAATGACAGTATGCGGTACTTGTGCTCTCGGACTGTCTTCCGTCCTCGTGCCTTTTGGAGATCCTGGAGAATGTGGTGAGGCCACCTTTGCGAGGATTGGATGTCGTCTCGTTTTTCTAACATCATGGCAAATTCTCTGTTGCAGGTCAAGGTCTTTGCGAGGGACATTGTTGCAACAGCGGAGGTGACCTCAGGCATAACAACATTTGGGGAGTACGAGCTGCACGACCTGGTTATGCTAGAGTACGTCCTTGTCCTTCCCACTTAGAACGTGTAGAACGTGGTCCACATGGTTCTGAACCTCCCGTGTTTCTATCTGGATGATTTCAATGTTCTTGTCAATGGCCAGAAATAAGGCTGTACCTGTTTTTCTCTTTTGCACTCGTGTACGTGTTGCTCGTTTTTGCAGTCGTCATGCTCTCTTTTGCAGTCGCTATGCTTACTTTCTGTGGGGTTCGCTGTCTTTTGCATGTCTGCAGCCAGCTGAATTTTGGAGTGATTGTCAAAGTCGAGAAAGATGTGTGTCAGGTGAGTGGAAGTACAGGAACGCTTGGGTTCACTGCACAGGGCGTGTTTGCCATTGGTTAAACCTTTGCATGATATCTGTGAATAGTACCCCAGTGTTAAACCAGCAGTCCACCCGGGCCTGGAGGTGCCTCATTGAGTGCCAAGCTTTTCCGAACCGCAAGCGGTGCACTTTTCTTTTTTGGGGGGCGCTGGCAGCCATTGTGGTCCGGTAGGCCTAACCTGCGATTTTGTTTTTGTAGGCGACAAGTTGCCTTTTCAGCAAGGCTGGAGCCGTGTAGTGGCGGTTTAAAGCTGTTAAACCACAAGTGCCCCAGTTTAGTTCTGTCGAAGAATTGCTAATGACCCGAGCTTGTGAACGTAGGTTTGCTGGATTTATCCCGATGTTTGCACGGCCGAACATGTATCCCGTTGTGATGTGTGCTGACTCTTTGCACGGACTTGAAAGTGGGCTGTGGATTTTCGTGCAACTGGTGGTCCAATGGATGCCCGTGTCTATGCATTAGTGTGGGCTATTAGTGTGGGCTGTCTTTGTCTTTGTGACTGTTTTGTGGCTGTGGAATTTTTCACCTTCTCTTGCTTTATTATAGAATACATGTTGCTGGTGGATTTGGCGTTGTGGTTGTTCGTGCTCTGATGCAAAACCAGTTCATCGGGGTCCGAAGGCTATATGCGTGATTGGTGTCTTTATGTATGTACATGGGAGTGCATGACTCGTTCGTGTTTGTCTCTGTGAATGTTGGATCTGTTTAGTTGGACTCTTTTTGTGAACAAGGTTTGCCTTTCGGTGCTGTCAAGTTGCTTGTGTTGGTGTTGTTGATTGCTTTGATGTGACTTCGGGTCGTTAGGAAACGAGGTTTTGGCTTTGCCTGTTACGTCTTTTGTGTTGTCTTTTGGATTGCTATCTTGTCAGTTTATTGGATTGTACCGACTTTATTTATGGTGTACTCGCGTTCGATTCATGTTTAGTGTATGGTGTGCCAGGGAAGGTGCGTGTGTGAAATGTGTGGCTTGAGAAACTGAGCAACGCGGGTATCTGCCCTTCCTTGGATGGGAATCTGCAATGTGATGGATGAACCGTGTGTTGGCATTGTGACAGGTCCTTATAGGCATTCCGGAAAGGCAGCAGGTGCGGACAGTCAGGATCCAACAGATCAAGAGGAAAATCATGGATAGGAATAGCACTGCCCAGGATACAGAGATGAACAGCGTGCACCTGAAAGACATTGTTAGAGTTTTGGAGGGGCCCTTCAAGGTGAGTGTGGCTGGATTGCAGCGAATTCGAAGGGGTGTTTGTCTCTCTGTGAGTTTTGCAGGTCACTTTACATGCTTGTTGATCATCGTGAACGCTTTGGTGTGGCATGTAGTGTCAAGTGTACGGCAGTTTCTTTTGCTCCGACAATGTTTATGTATGTGTCAACACAGTGGTTAACCGTTGGATGCGGTCTCCTGTAGAGTCTGTTGTTTGACCGGGTGGGAGGAAGGTGCTTTTTGAGTTGGCACTATAATGGTGTGACAAACTCGTGGTGGTCCCCCACTGTAGATTTCCTTCTCCTCTTGACAACGAGATATATCGGCGGTCTTGCTGTGCTACTGATGTTTGCAGGGACGGACTGGACCAGTGCATCACATCAACAAGGGCCTGCTCTTTATTCTGAGTAGGGACACTCTCGAATGCGGAGGATTCATATGTGCAAGGTCTCGAAATTGCAGAGCTCTTGGTGGAACACGGATGAACGAATTTAAGGTAAGGTATCACGGATGAATCAAATTGCAGAGCTCTTGGTGGAACACGGATCAACGAGTTTTGTGATGCTTTTCTGGAAGAAAGGTTCCCTTGGCGATGCCAATGGATGGCAGCGTGAAGAGGGTCACTCCTGCCATTGCTTTGCTTGTGAATGGAGGGCAGCGTGTACAGGGTCACCCACCCCTTTTCATTGCTTGTAAATGGATGACAGCGTGAACGGGGTCACCCCTTTTGATTGCTGCAGGTCTAGGTCGGTGAAGTGAATGCCCCTAGCCACTGGGTTGAGCCACAGTTCTTTGGAACTCTTCCTGGGGTGGGCTGTCTCTTTGGCTCTTGGTCTTTTTGAGAACCTCTGTGCTTATCTGTGGTTTAGGTGACTCGAATATCTTGGCTGCTTTCTAGGCCTCTGTGCTTGTGGGTCCATTTATGCAAGGGGGATTGGTTATTCAGGGGTAGTAGACCTGAATATGTGTGCTGCGTTTGAATCAGTACGCAATCCACTAGCCAGGACTTCTCTGTCGAATGCCTGCTTGTCCGTGACCTAACTGCTGTGTTGTGTGGTGATCTGTGAACAACAGAGGACGGGACCACCGTCTGCTTTCAACCGAGATTTTGGCAGAGATTATCTCCGGTCCCCTGCCCACTATTTGCAATCACCAAGACGGTCGTCGTCGCCTGGCGGCCGTGGAATGGGTATGAATGGTAAGTTCTTCCTCTGAGTAAAATGCTAGTGGAACTGTAGAAGAGGATTTGTTATTCCTGTAAGGGTTTTGTGTAAGGGGTTTGTGTTTGGGACTATGAATGGTGAGTTCTCGCTGCTGGCCCTATTGTACTGTGTTGTTATAGCTGTGTCTGCGGCATCATTCTGGTCGGATACAGTCATGATGAGGGTGCTGTGTTTAGGGAAAGGACTTAGCAAACGAAGAGGACAGGAGGCCATTTGAGGAACACCTAGGGAAGTCGATTTGTTATTCATGTCATGGTTGTCTATGGGCTCGTCTGGGATGATTTGAGACGCCTATTTTGTGCAGCAACTGCGAACGTCTGTTTGTGTTTAGCAAAAGCGATTGTCCGTGTCTGCTGCAAACTTCTCTATGCTCCTCTTTATTAGTTTCGACTGTAGCTGTAAGGGTGAGATTTCTTCGATCTCCAGTCTTCTGTAAGGGTGAGATTTCTTCGATCTCCAGTCTTCTGATTGGGCAACCCATAGTGTAGCGAAAGGAGTGTGACGCGTGCAGTTCCATGATGGTTTGTGTACTATAGTTTTTTACGTATGCATGGAGTTTTTCTCTTGGTGGTGAAAGCCTAAGCACTACGTCGGTTGCTCAGATGTGTTCTCTCTAATGATGCAGTCTCGGATGCTAGGTAGGGACGGAGTGGAAAGGGGACGTGAAACCCTTGTAGGAACTAATCCCACCTGATGCATGCTGGAAGGAAGGGTCAAGAGAATTGAAAACTGCGCAGATGGTTGATTAAGCGTTTTGTGTCTTTTGTTTGCTTGCAGGTTTCCAGGGGTTACCGCCTGGCCCCCGAGGCGGTGGTAGAAACGAGTCGTTGGTGGGACGTTCAGTCAAAATTCGGGCAGGACCATTCAAGGGCTACAGAGGCCGGGTTTTGACGGTGTCTGACACGGATGTCCGCATGGAGTTGGAGTCTCAAATGAAAGTTATCTCTGGTATGTGAACTTTTCTGACGAGGCATGAATACATGGCTGTCTCGATGGTGTTTTCTTTTCACTGAGAGCAGAATCATGTGGATGTTGTCAACGTGGATTAGATTAGATGGATGCTGATAACAAGAAGTAAATGGGTACTGTCAGATGTTTGTTTGTTGCGGTGTGTTTTTTCATCATGGCTTTTGAACTTGGTAGTTTTGCTGAGCAGTAGCTGAGTGGGGCATAAGAGTTTCTATATGGTTGTGCAGGGTCATGGGGTGATGGGGCGATGGAAGGGGTGGGCTCAGGGGAGGGGATGTGAGGGTTCACAGCCCTCGTAGCAGGCTCACGGCGGTCTCCTTTGATGTAAGGTGACAGGGTGGGCTATTGCATCTCGCCAGGTGGGATTGGGAACCCCAGGAACCTTAGTTCGAATGCGGCGCATCCCGTTCTTGGCGATCGTGTAGAACCCATCCCGGTCGATACCTCCCTGTGTGTGTGGTCGACGCTGTGGACTCTGTGCTTGAGTGTACGCTGTGTGCGGGTGGGTTCACTCCGTTGATGGGAGGCTGAACTCCTTGTGTCCAGCCTCTTAGCCGACATCCTCTCCTGGCACTGTTGCCTACACCCCGCGCAACCTTTTTATAAGAATCGCATAGGTGAATAGTACAATCACACTTGGAATTAGATCCGCATCTTGCTGGTGGTTTCTGTGTCATGTGTTTTCTATCCGGGTAAGGCATAGAAGGGAGGAGTACATGAGTGTCTGATGAGCATGGCAGAGTAACGTGCAACTGGATGAGTGCTTTTACAGGAGGAGAGAGACTGGTTGCTTCTTGCATTTAGTGTGCTGCTGAGCTGCAAAGGGCGTGAGAAAAAAATGTCTAGAATCTGAGGTGACCTTTCCAATGTAGTCTGTAATTGTGGCTTTCAGTGCGAGCGATTCTGTGCATGCAATTCTGTAACAGTCCGTTTTTTTGTGTGTTCTTGTCACATTGCAGTTCGTCGTGATCAGCTGGCACCTGTGGAGACGCCAGCCATGCCAATAAGGTACGATTTGGATCCAAACCTCAATCCTTCTTCCTTTGGGCACGAGATGGCGTTTGGACGTGTAAGAACGTATTGCATACTTTGTTCAGAATGGTTTTCAGAAACATCGATCTCATTTATGTACTGCTCATTGTCAGGTTTTGTTCAAATAAGGAGTCTGTGGGGCTTGGCAACATTAGGTCGGTGAGGATTTGGAATTTAGAAGAGGGGAATTTGGGTATCTTGCAGGTACTTTCGGAGTGCCTTGTCCTATTCAAGAGTGCACATTTTTTTTCGTCAGTGTAAATGAATCATTTGACCAGTCGAATCGAGCTAGACAGGGTAGTGCCTTTCGTTATTATTATGCACTTGTTTGAGGCCGACCGATGGGTTTATGCCCTCAGGTATTTGGATCTACATGAGGCTTTTCGTTATTATTATGCACCTGTCCCAGATGTTTGATGCAGACCGATGGATTTATGCCCTCAGGTATTTGTTGGATCTACATGTAAGGCTTTGTGTATTTGCTCGCTGATAAATGGTTTGCCCCTTGCTAATGTGTATGCAGAGATGTGCGGTATGGAGTTGGAAGTGAGACACCAATTCATCCGTCAAGAACGCCATTGCATCCAAGCTATTCAACTCCTTCCCGTGACCCGACAGGTGCGTTGAATTCTTATGCGTTTGTGCATTGGGGTGTCAGTCGTTGAGTAAACGTTTTGATTGATGTTGTTGTCGGTCTTGAATTTTGTGGCTTGTTATTATTTTTAACTTTCTGGTCAGTAGTTGATTGCTCAGGTCCCGTGTCTTATGTGAGGATACTCCTTTGCCCGGGTGAAAGCACTGGTTGCTCCACGTGCTTATGAGGCCTCTTTTCTTTGTTTGCAGCTACACCAATCCATGAAGGTATGAGGACTCCAATGCGGGAGAAAGCATGGAACCCGCACCAAGTCATGACTCCATTGAGGTAAGGATGGCGGTGATCCATTGAGAAAGTAGTGAGAACTTTGATGTCTGAATATGGAATGAAAGTACTAATTACCTGATAACAGTGGATAATGATGGCGCCTCCTTCAGCTTCGTCGTGATGGATTGAAAAGTGTGTTATGACATATGTCAATAGTCTGCTCGAAAATGTTGGATGTTCGAGGGTGACCTCCGTTTGTTTTGTTGGGGGAAGAAGTGGGAGGGGTGGCGAACAGGAGCGAAGGTTAACTTCGTTCGTCTTGTATGGCGAAGAAGTGAGAAAGGCGGCGAAGAGCAGCAGAGAATATGCTATATGTTCTTGTTGTCATACTGAATCGGGTTGTCGGTTATGTTGCAGGGACAACGGATGGGGTGATGACTCAAGCGATCGTGATTGGGACCGACACAGCTCAGGTTATGGAGGTGGATTCCGGTCGTTTGCAGATGGCAGCAGCACTCCTCAAAGGGAAACAAATGTGAGTTCTTTGTGTCGTGGTTGCTGGAATAGTCGTTAAATACCGTACTTGCGGCACACTTCTGCGGTGCGCGCACGGCATGTGACGAAGTAATGTGCAGTCAGTCATACACAAGAGCAGTCAATTGTTTGTACTTGAGGACCCGGACTTACTCTTAATTCGACCTCTAATTGCACATGTACAAGGTCGGTTGGGCTGTGAATGGTAGTGCACCCATAACAAGAAGCACAGGCTGGGGGTGGGCTCGATGGTCACTTTTACCACAAATGAGGGTGGCTTCGAGTGTCTTTCGCAAGTTTCTTTGTTTCATCTGTCTCTGCGGTTTGTAATAGTCAGCGATTGTCTACGGCTTGGTGTGTAATACCCCGGTGCTCTTCAGAGTTTTTTTTCTGTGAACATTTATGTAGGGGAACCTTGAGTTCTGCAAGTGTTGGTGACCCATGGCAAGAAGCGCAGTACTGGGGTAGTCAGGCCCAACAGCAATTACGAGTTTTCAAATTGAGGCAGCGAGTTCGAGCTTTGCATGTTTTTTGTTGATTCTCTTTTGTTGGTTTGTCTCTGTGGTTTGCAACTGCTGGGGATTGACTGTCGATTGGTGAGATCGCTTGCTGGAGGAGGTGTTGAGCTTCGTGTGTTTTGGTTTGGTCCGTCTCTATGGTTCATAAGCATCAGGGGATTGCTGTCGCTTGGGGAAATACCCCACAGAGGCACATTCTGTGTATGCTGAGCTTCGTGTGTTTTGTGTTGGTCTGTCTCTATGGTTCATAAGCATCAGGGGATTGCTGTCGCGTGGTGAAATACCCCACAGGGGATTGCTGTCGCTTGGTGAAAACCCCCCAGGGGATTGCTGTCGCTTGGTGAAATACCCCACAGAGGCACATTCTGTGTATGCCATGCGCATTGGGACTTCTGAAAGTTTGCAATCTTGGTTCATTATAGGAAGTGGGGATTAGCAAGTTGTGTTGTTACGCAGTGTTTGGGCAAGAGTTGTCCTGGTGATGGTGTTGACAAACACCGATATCTGATCGATCAGTGCCTTGTGTAATCTTCTTCTGCAGCCCGGGACTCCAGCTGGAAGGGCCTATGATGCCCCCACTCCTGGCAGTGGTTGGGGATCTGCTGGCAGCTATAATGACCGCAGTGATGGTTATGGCAGTGCGTCATATGGAGCAGGTATGCGTTCATGTTGTTGGCATGGTTTTCTTGTCTACTAGTCTTCACAGATACTATTTTATCGACTTCCTGTCAATAGAATTTGTTTTATCACTCGTCGTGATTGGGCGTGCTTAGTTTCACAGCTAGGTACATGTTGGGTTCCGATTCCGCAGAACATACTGCCCATCCCTGTTGCACACCATGGGTGGCCCTGCATACGACGGCCTCGAGTCCGCTGGTTGCTTGCTGTGGTTGACATTTGCTACTCTCGGTAGTGGCAAATCTAGGGTGAAGACGGAAACAAAATATTGGAGGGGCTTGTTTGTGGTGATTAGGGACCTGTTTGGTCCTGATAGAGGGAGGGGATTAAAACACGAGTACGTTTTTTTCGTGTTTGAAATCTTAAGATGAGCTGGGTAATGCGTGGTAGCCGAATGGGGGAGGCCCACCGTTGATAAATCAAACCGGTGGCCTGTTCTTCGTTTCGGGTCTTCGGCACTGCATGTGACTGGCATATGGAAAAGAAGCTACCGGCGGTTTAATAGTAAAAAAAACACAGATGAGTTGTTTAATGATATCGAACTCGTTGTCAGCTCTTTGTGCTCTTCTATGTTTGTTTTTTTTTAAGGCGTGGTGGGAATTCTCTGGTTATTCATTCTCAAACCACGATTGAAGTGGAGCCCATTTTTTGGTGAGCTGAAAGTAAGTGGGAGTGGTTGGCCGTCATTGCTATGGTGGGTACTGGCCGAACTCTAGGCCTCTGGCTGCATGGCCGTAGTCTTCTTTTGGGCAGCGGGAATATCGTTGTGGTGGGGTTTAATGCTCGACTTGCTGACGAGAACGCATGATTTTGTTTGGTTACTTGGTGATAGAAAGTTGTGGATGGCAGAATGCTCCTTGCACTCTTGCTTATGAAGGTTGTGGATGGGAAAGTTTCTGTATCTGTACCATGTGCCGATCTCTTTGGTGTTGTGTGCCCACTTCCTTATCCCTTGGTTGCAATTGTGTTTTTGTGCTGTGATGTGTGGACAGCTCCAAGTCCTTATCGGACACCCGGTACACCTAGTCAGCCGGTCACTCCTGGTGGATCGTCACCGTATATCCCGGGCACACCAAGTGGCAACCCGATGACGCCTGGAACAAGCCTAGAAGCACCTTCCCCTGCTCCAGGTAATGCAATTTTTTGGTGGTTGGTTGGTGTGGTTGTGGGTAGTCTGGTTGCTGCGTGGAAGAATTCCTTGAGTGCCGCTAAGCATGGGCATAGTTTGCTTGCCTCTCTTTCCTGCTCTTCCAAAGAGAGCGGGAATTTTCTGCACGTGTGATGAGAACACGTTCCGTATGGAAGTGGTGCGTGCGGATGTTGTAGTATATGTCTACCTCGAGGTATTGCTTCTTGTTGTGTGGAAGTATGTTGTGTTCGATCTTTTGCACCGTTCTGGTATCGTCTCATGCAAAACCGTGTTGTGTTGCATTGGTTCCTGTTCTGCAGGTGGCTTCTTGTTGTGTGGAAGTATGATGTTGTGTTCGATCTTTTGCGCTGTTCTGGTACTGGTTTGACTATAGTCTCATTCTGAACCGTGTCGTGTTGGATTGATTCTTGTTCTGCAGGTGGTTCTAGCCAAGACGGTGAGAGCTCCTGGGTGCTTCCAGATGTTGCGGTCACTGTCCAGAGAGGAGGCTCTTTGTTCACAGGCGTTGTCCATGAAATCTTATCTGTAAGTGAACAACCACCTGAAAAGAAAAAATAACATATTGTACGTGGTTTCGTATTGATCGCTTTACATCAACAGTTTCACATAAACTTTCACATGAATAAAGGTCCGATTGTAGCTTGGGCGAGTTCAGGTATGAACTAGAGCACTGGAGTGTGCCGGTTTTGTTTGTGAAATCAAGTGTCCCTGCTGCTCTCTGCTTTTGTTACTGTACTTACACACTAGGCGCTGGAAATCACAGAATACCAAAATCAGCTGCCAGAACGAGCTCGTCGATCAGGACTGGATCTGATGCGGATCTGCAATTTTGATTCCCTAGTGTGAGTCTGTCCGTAGAGTCGTATATGTATGCATGTATGCGAGGGTAGATAAACATCACTGGTATTGTATGCATGTATGCCTGGTAGATAAACATTTGACTCATGTATTGTATGTATAAAGTACTATAAACATTTTTATGTATAAACATTTAACTCTTGTATTGTATGTATGTATATGCCTGGTGACGGTAGATAAACGTTTGACTCTTGTATTGTATGGCGCTCTCTTTGGTGATGCGTTTCGTGACGCAGGATGGTAAGTTCCGGGTTGCCGTGGGCAGTGCAGCGGACGGAGAGACAATAGTGGCGAACCGGTCTGAGGTAGAGCTGGTTGTTCCAAGGCGAAATGAGAAGATCAAGATCCTGCAGGGAGAGTTCCGGAACACAACAGGCAAACTGATAGGAATCGATGGACCGGAAGGAATTGTGAAAATGGATGATAACTTGGATATACGGATTCTTCCGATGAACTTCATTGGCCGTATTGCGTAATTGTACTAACTAAACACTGATTCTTGTACACACCCACCACTGACTAACCAACCTTATGATAGGGGTTAATTTTCTTTATTCTTGAGGTAGGTAGATGGATGACCTGTTCTGAATTAAGATTGCAGGTGCTTTGCGAGGAGGATGTTGCCCTTCTTGTCAGCTGGCGTTCGGGAAGTTGGATTGTGCTAGCAAACACTCGAGAGAGAGAGAGAGAGAGAGAGAGAGAGAGAGAGAGAGAGAGAATTGTGCTTGGAAAACGGAGCCTTGTAGCGAGCCTGAAGGACAAGGCGTGGAAGTGCATTTCTGGCTGTGGAAGCCCTTTGTGAGGACTTTGCGATCTTTCCTCCCCTGGGAACAAAGGGATTTAATGATGATAGCCAAGATGCACTTGGCATTGGCAAGCGGTGGGGCTGTCGTAGTTTCGTGGAATCGGGGTCGGAGGGCTGGGATGCATTTGAGAGTCGTTGAGCTGCCATGGTCTCCAGATGGTGTGGGACTGTGTCATTGGGCGGTGGGCGCCGTGTGGGAGGTGGGAGGGACTGTGTCATTGGGGATTGTGTGGGAGGTGGGAGGAGGAGATGAAGGCGAAATCGTTAGAGGTGGCGCCACGATGTGGGGATTAGGCAGAGGGGTGCAGCCAGGTATTTACTATGGAGGCACTATCGAGGTACTATCGATGGAGTGTCATTGGGCGTTGCTGGGTGGTTTCGGCCCTGCGTGGACCTGTGAGAGTGGGTCATATAGCGGTCATGGCTCTTGCTATTCGCTGCTGCGACTGACCAGCAGTTTGGCTTTGCTGGGCACAACTGGGCACAATTTTGCATTTAGGATCAACGATGGCCCTTCCCCTTGTGAAAAGAAATATGGGTCTTGTACAGTTTCTCCAGAAACATTTATTTGGAGAGAAATGTGTTCCTGGAGTTTTTCCAGTTTCTGAAGATTTGGAGTTCGAAGATTCTGAAGTCGTCTCTGGCGGTTCTCTTGTGAACAAGGATAGGTTCATGCTCTGTTTTATCGACCGCTGTGTAAACCGTGCTCGTATCGACTTGAAAGCCACAACAGTGAGTACCTTATGTGTTCACGTTTGGGTGTGTCTTATCTGTTCACGACAGGGAGTGTCCTATCATCTGCAATGTGTGTTTATTTGTTTATTTCTTGATCGCAAGAGCGGTTCATTTAAACGTCTGAAGAGTTTGGAGGGGACTACAATGGCTGGTGAAGATGCAGTTTCCATTTGTTGCTTTCGTTTTCTCCCGTTTCTGCTACAGACGCTCTGTTGTGCCTTTGTGCCTTTAGCTGACGTACTGTTTTTCTAGTTCGTGCAGGTGCAGTGCAGTCTTTGTATTCATGGTTTTGAGGTGATTGTAAATTGTCTGGCTGCATTGGGCAGCTGGTTCGTTGATTAGTGGATTGCAGGACCAGTGCGGCGGTTATTTTTTTAATCATTTTTGGCACTTGTCGCGGAAGGTGGACATGTGTTCTCTGGTGATGTCAACACAAGGTCGTCAAAAACAAATCCCCCATTGGCCTGGCTAAAAGGGCCCCCACCTATCCAGAAACGTGACGGTTGCCTGATTGTGTAAGTCTTTGGAATACCTTCGTTATCCCCGTAAGCCTTAATATGTATGGTCTCTCTGTTGTAACCACCAGTACGAGCATGTTCGTCGGCCGTCCAGAAATGTGCCACCTCTGTTATGTTGTGAAGAGTTGGAAACACCAGGACTGTACTAATTATTATAAGCTTGTTGTGTCGGCTGTGGACGTATAAGCATTCTCTGCGCTAGTCAACTTAAAATCGTCATTAGAGGATACACCGGAGGCTTTTGGGCTTGAGTGTATTCCTGTGCTTTTGATGTCGTGTGGCATCTGCTTTGTCCTGTGGGAATCTGCTTTCTATTTGTTGAGGTTGTAGAAAAGCTTATGTTTGCTGCAAACTGTTTCCTGAGAACTATTGCTTGGTAGGAGTGTTTGTATTTCATGGTGATTTTATATTTTGGTAGTTGGAGAGTGGTTGCGGTTATATGGAAGATGCCGGCTACTGGAAAGCATTCACTGCTGGGGAAATCTTTTGGGAGACGTAAAAGCAGGAGCGATTTGCGGTCTGGGGTGTACACGGGCGGGGCATATGTGATGACGTTGGAAGCATTATTCTCACCCCTCGTGCAAACGTGTTCCGAGCTGAACTCATCCTGTGTCGTATGCTTACGTAGGAGTGTGCCTCTCTCCGTCAACTCCCTTTTCGGCCCCCCTCCCCCCCTACCTCCAACCGGCCCCCCTCCAACCCCCAACCACCCCCAGGAGAATGAACAAGTGGGCAGGGAATATAATCCAAAGCCCTGTCACTTGCCCATTTCAGTTTGAAAATCTGATAATAATATTAATAAAATTAATATGAGTATATAAAAAAAAAAATCAGTATAGTACCGATGTCCAGTCTGAGTGCGCAAATAAAAACGGACAGGATTTGTGCCAGCGTTGCAAATTGTGCACTGAGGTCAGATAGGAGGATATCTTTTCTCCGTCTTCTGCTTTCCCGACAGAAGTTTCGTGCCACGCTCAGAGATATCTGTAACGTTCAGAAAGACCTGGAGACGTAGGCCTTCTGCTCGCCACGCGACCGGCTCTTTTGCTGAACGTAATGACGGACACGATTTGACAATTTGAGATGATTGTGTCAGGTAGTGTGGTACTGTAATGGGGGCTATGAAATCCAGTGTATTTGCACCCGTGTTTTTGCATTGCTCGCTAGTGTCATCGGGTGCTCTGCACCTGTACAGGTTCTCGTAGCTGGTCAGGGGCAGGTGGTCTGTGGATCCGCAGGGCTCGTTTTTTTCGCTAACAGCATAGGTTGTCAGTTGGCTGAGCAGATGCGTGCTTTCATCAAGCGGATGGCGGATGGCAGGGGAATCCGCTGTCTAATTTCTGGTGGACCTTATGGCCCTGTTTGAAAAATATCCCCTCGCATTTCTTCCTCACTATATAGGGACCGCGCTAAGTTGTACCAGGTTCTTTTTGCCCTGTCCATTCTGGTGTAACGTCCCTGCCTGCGAATGCATGATCTCAGCGCACATGTTGGTTTGGCTGTTCACAGCGTTGTGCTGAAAAACCCGAATTTTGGGTCTTCCATTAAACCACCACCAGCACTTGGCCCAGCTATCGATGCCGAGCTGGGATACCCCCTGCGCGCCAAGTTTTGCTGAGCCGCCGGGGCACCATTTCGTTTCGATTTTGGCCGGCGCTTCCAGCCATTGTAGTTTGGTGCCCCGAAGTCTAACTACCAGCGCATTAACGGGAGTCGCCCCGGCCGATAGCTGGGCCGAGTACTGGTGGTTTAACCAAACTCTGTTCTGATTGTAACTGGATTGTTCTCCGAACATAACGCATGTGTTGTATTCGAGTTTTTTCTAAAGCAAAAAAAAAATCGAACAGAGCACGAGTGTTGTATTCAAAGAGAACACACTCTATGCATCCTATTCGCTTACAAAGCATGAGTCTGTCTGGGGGGGCAGAAGGTAGCGTAGCTGTAGAGAGGCGCTGCGGTATGGTAATGCTCAGGCGATCGTGATGAGCTTGTCGGTGAATCTCTTTGCCAGATTCTGGTGATGCTTGTTGTGTTCATGATAATAATGACAATTTATGTCCGACCGTGTTGAAGGTTGGGGATCTATATGATAGGATTCGCCGACACGATTTGCCGACTGCGAGTCTTATGATTCCGACGGGGTAAGAGTGGCGTCTTTGGGTTCATGCTTGTGATCGTCCGCCGTTGTGATACCACCTGCACGGGATCTGCAAGGAGGGTGTGTCACAAACGGAGGGCGGATGTCTTGATGATGAGTACGAGGGAAATGTGTTGAGCCCACGAAGGGGGGTGCTGAAGGGCTGGGCAACACCTGCGACAATAGGAATGGCAGAGTAAGTGATGGGCGCAGCTCAGTTGGTAGAGGCACACGCTGTTGGATTCCATGTGTTTCAACCCAGATGGACGTAGATGGATGTAAATCGATGACATTCGTGAATTCCCTGGGGTGGGTCAGTTTGATGGTGATACCTCAAGGGGCATTGCCCCCTATTTGTTTCCGAACTGAAAGAGAGAATGGTGGCAGGGTAGGAAAAGGAAGGAGGGGCGTGTGTTTGTCATGCGAAACCACCAGGGGCTGCGACTTTCTTTGATGAATGGGTCTGCGGCCGGTGGTGGCATAAATTCATTCTGACGCAGTGATTGCGGCGCTGAAGGAAAGGCTGGCGCACCCCGACTTTTCAAAGCACTCGTGGCTTAAGAAATGTGCAGGCAAGACTCGGGCCCCGCCGCCCTGTAATGGGAATTTGGTATGATGTCTGTCCTGTAGGGCGCCGTGCCTGGGTTTGAAGGGTTTTTTTTTTCTTTTCTTTTTTTTCTTTTTTTCTCTTTTGAGACAACGCACCCCCGCCAGTGTTAGTGGTGCTGATAAGAGTAGACACCGCTAACACCTGGGGAGAGGCTCCATCTATTGGTGGGGAGCATCACTTGCTGGGAAGCGGGCCCAGCGTCCCCTATACAGATTGAATTTGCAGCATGCCGGGACAAGAGAACCATTGTGGAGGAGTCCTGCCAGCATTGATTACCCTGGCATCCAGGGGATTGACTGAGCAGGAGGTAGGGGTGGGTGGGAAGGACCTCTACAATATGGAACCGGCGCCAGATCCTACTGTGACTCACTAGTTCCTCCCTCCCCCCACCCAGTCTGAACTGTCACTTCCAAAGTCGTCGTCTTGCACCGAGAACGAAAGAGTATTCCGGCATAGTTTCTCTTCTCTTAACAGCCTTCCCCGAAATGAAGGTAGGCCTTGTATGGTCATTATAGCTGTATTTGGGGGCCCAACTTTTAGTCTGATACAATGGGATAATGACCGTACCTTCCGTTCAGGTGATATGGTGATAATGGCCGTGCCTTCCGTTCAGGTTGAGGTGATATTGTGATAATGAACGTACCTTCTGTCCAGGTGGCGATGGTAGAAATGGAGAATCTAAAAGATTGGTGTTCTGAAGCTGTGGTCGCTTGGAAAGAAGCCGAATGCCTGTATATAGCCGTAACTTCTGTTCAGGTGCTGACGGCCGACAGCAGAAACGGAGCATCTGGAAGATTGTTCGGAAGTCGTGGTAATTTGAAAGAAGCCGTATACGTGAAGTGTAGTTGCGTAGGAGTGGGAACTTTTTGAAGTGTAGTGGCGTAGGAGGAATAACCTTTTTTTTTTTTTCCTCGGGAAAGGAGGAACAACTATCACCTCCACTACAATGGAATGCGAAAGGGCAGTGTCTCGTCTGAGAGTTGTTGTAAATACGTCTATAATAGGGAGCTGTGTTTGTTTGGGAGAGGGTGGTAGTAGCCGTGTAGGTGAATGCAGAGGGGGCAAGAAAACAAGGAAACTGTTTGCATGATACTGGAACTGAAAGCGCAACCAGGGCGCGCCCTGGGAGCTCTGAGAGCTAAAAAAAAACGAGGATTTTCTTCCCCCGAATACAACGTACGGTCATTATATTTATATCTAGACTGAAAGATGCCTCAAATACAGGTATAATGCCCGTACGTTGTATTTGGGGGAAGAAGGTAGTGTGGGCCTGGTTTTGGCTGCCCGCTGCCAGACGTTTTGCTTGGGCTACCGAACATCCTACGGCAGCATGCGAGGGGTGTTGAAGGTAAATGGGTGGGAAACGTACTGGTAGTTCAAACGACGAGTACATCGGAGGCACGGAGGCACTCTCTTTTCCGGGGTTGGAAACACTACACGGGGGTCTCCTTTTGGCCTGCGCGTCGGGGCATTTTGCTCGTAGGGGGGAAACCGGGAGCAGTAGAGGATACAGTGGTGTGATTTCGTTGATTATCATTGTTTCGGACTCGGTGCAGTATCGTCTACTGGTCTCGTTGTTCCGTGAGAATCGAACATGGAACATTGGAATATCAATCCGGGGCTGGATATCCATGGCACATCATAGCAGTGTTCGGTCTTAAGCAGAAGCCACTGGGCGTGGGGGCTTTATTGGCATCACAGATCCAGGCATGCAGGCTTTTTGGCTTTCTGAGCATTTTCCATTTTGCCTTTGTACGACCTTCTCCTCCACTACGAGGATGGTCTATGAAAATGAATAAAAGCTCAAAATGCCAAAACGATTCGCATCGCTGCAACTCGCTCGATATCTCCGTTCACTAGTCTGAGTAATAATCTTTTGTTTTGCAACATTTGAGCTGGAAAGAGCAGCGCAAGCTGCAGTCGTGTATATCTCTCATTCTCTCGTGTTTCCTAAAATGTCCTTGTGGGAATCCATTCGAGTTCTGCTGTACTGCTTAAACCACCAGTACCTTTTCCATATATTGGCAGCGGGCCCCTTGGCCGTGGGCCCCTCACTGCAACTTTCGGAGGCTCGAAACGCAACACTGGCTGCTCACGAAATCGACGGCGGTCTGGTCCTGGAAGTCGTCTCTGTGCGAATCGCTGTGTATTTATTTTTCAAGCGGGGAAAGCTCATGGTAATATAACCCACTTGTACTTGT